AGATTAGGGTAGCATGCGTGCGCGTACTATTCCACACACTATCTCCTATATAATGTTTAAACGCAACACTCTAGACAGCTGGTGTAGTGTTGTGTGAGTTGGCTGCCACTGAAACGAGCCGAGCACAAACAGCTGCTGTTGCCTTGGAACTGTCGGAAGTATACTTCGCAGGACTTGCAAGTAGGTCTTCCTTTGACCTTTCGTTTGCTTCGCATTCTTTTCTGACATTTGGCTTTGCACCGTTTATTTATTGCTTATGTTGGCTGGTGAATTCAGTGTCCGGGACGCTTGATTTGTTCTCTAAGACGGACTTTACACATTGTTGAGATTAGTATTGTGCGCCGAAGATGATCTGCAACAGCGAAACAGGTATAACTCAAGCACTTGATTTCGTGCCTGCAGACATTCTGATCAACACATGAGCCACACAACTTGTGAGTGCGATGCTGCCCTTCGTCGTGCGTACATCGACTTCGGGCGGAGAGCATAACGCCCCTTGCGGCGATCTTATCAACTCTGCAATAAAGTTTGGTCTTTTGCGACTATCAATTTCCACGGTAGATGCCTGCCAGATCTTCACGTCAGGTAGTTTTCGTGCAGTGTGCTCTTAAAATGGTAACTCACTGCTACGGCCCTCACAGCTACTGCTGTCTCTGGGAACACGCTTAGCCCTGAAGTATTCTGTGTGCTGTAATTGTGCATTTCCGCAACGCGGAGCGTCAAGGAAAGTCTCGTAGGGGAACTCAGCTACTAGTTGCTCCTCAGAGGGACCGGAGGCGAGGTAGCTCTCGCGTTTATTGGGTGCTTTAGACTGTTCACGATTTTTCTAGACAGCAAGCTGGGGTATGAGACGTTGAGAGCATGAATGCAACGTAATCAAGACATTTTCGTTATGTGCGCAGCAGCTATGCTTCATTCCTACTGTGCTTTTGCCGATGAAGTACTCCGCTTAAAATTTACAATTCTTGTGTGTGGGGAGTTTGGAGCCAATTCTTATCACAAATCGACTCCCAGCAGCCATCTCAGCGCATGCAGAGGAGGTGGTTGCCTACAAGGGCCTCGAAGTCCCGCACTGGCTCATTCTCCCAGTCAGTGTCTTAAATTACTGTTTTCTGTGTAATGGGGAACAAACTTAACACCAAAGGCAGGTCATTCAGGCCTATTAGGCCGTTCCGGCCAAGCCGGCTCCGGCAGCAAATATGATCGCTGCCGACCAAACTGGCTGGAGTGTGTTGGTTCTCAAGTCTCGCTCTTTAAGAAACGGTCGAAATATATCACTGTGCTTAATCATCAAAAAAGGGTGGATAAGGCCGTATTAGCGGCGACTTTCGATGACTATGCTCCTTTCGTGGTGGTTAGCATTGTTGCTTCTTCCCAAGGTGCTCTGCAGCGTCGCAGCAAGCGCTCCGCCTCAGTTCAAAAGGAAACCCTTACATTTAACGCCTTTAATTAAGCAAAATAGTCAGAAGCCGGTGGAAAATTCAACCTTTGCGTGTGTTATCCCCCCGTTTAGGGGAGCCCTGTCCAATTCACTTCGCCCTGGTGGAGTTGCTGAGCAAAACGCCGACTTATGCGCTTCCAAATGCAGTGTTAGGGCAACGACTAATAGGACGAGGTCATTTATTCTGCCATTCAAGGGCCTTTTCTGCCTAGAACTGGAAGCTACTGGGTCTGGGTATGCCCTTTCGCCTCCTTGTATCTGGTGCGCTTCGCAAACAGCAGGCTAGTCAACACACGTGATACAGAAGTACGTAGAGTGCAATGACGTAGGGAGAGTGGGCAGTTACAGGAGACAACCGAAGCAAACAAGGCAGTACTAGCCGTAGCATGCATACAAAAAGGTCAGCGAGATACAACAGGCACACCAATACCTACAGATACACGTAGATACGCCACAGTAACTGTGAACATCAATGCATGTAGAAATAGAAAGCCACAGATGTGAACAAGAATACGATTTTATATCTGCGAACAAGTGCCCACATTTAATGGGAAAGTGAACAATTGTGTTCCGTCTGCCCCTGTAAATACGTGCGTGTTCGGCTTACCATGCGCACCGAAGTATCCCTCGGCTGTACCGAATCTCCACCATTTTCTTCTAGTTTGTTTTTTTTTTCTTTTTTCGTGATGTGCTACAGGCGCAAGAATTCCATCTATCATGCTTCTTCCAACAGCTGCACATCGGCGACAGTTTGCTGGGCCACTTCAAAGGGCGGCGCCGCGACAAAGAACAATAGGGATTCCCGCCCCAAATTCTTGGGTGAGACTGGCTAATCAATTGTCACAGACAGGCAAATCAGTGGTGCGCTGCAATAGCAGTGAGTTGCATGCGTTGCCCAATGTAATGAACTGGCGGACTGCAAACGCAGGCGTGAAGAAATTTGGAGGGCAATTCGTACTGCCGGGGGATATTTTGGTGCGACAGAGAGGCACTCGATTCAAGGCAGGAGAAGGTAACAGCATAGTTACTAATTTGTTCATGTAATGTAGATATTTACTTACACGTGGTACAGCCTGTTGCTTTTCTTCTTAAAGGTCTTCGTACACGCGCTGAAGTTAGTTGTGCGTATTTTGAGGCCTACGAGCATATGCTATGTATCGTAATGCTGAGCTATTTGTATACGTACTATGGAATTACCAGTTGCATATTTTTGTGGATTCGTTCACGCGCGTGCATTTATTGGTGCGGCATGCAGCAGTGGGATATTTGTGCTGCTTTCCCTTGTCTAGATTTGTGGAGATTTTTCTTTATTCTAACTGCTGATTTAGTTTCATGTAATCTCAGTTAATACTGTGGCGTCTGAATTTCGAACATAGTATCCCAAAAACGAAGAGCAAGCTCACCATAATGGGCTCGATAAACTTGCGGAATGCACCTCAAAGTCACAGATATATCTCCCGTATATATAAGATTGTAATGCTTTTATGGGTACAATTCTATGAAACGGTAAACGCATAAGTAGATATTTATGTGTATCCATGTATATGTGCTTGTAAATTGCCCATGAATCTGTTCCTGTACGTATTCGTAAGTGTGTCTGCATTTTTACCCGTGCTTCTGAATATAAAACAAGTATTGTGGAACTACACGCGCACTTCTGGAGGCCCATGGGCAGCTGTGTGTTGTGACCTTAGCAATATGCATACGCCCGTGCTGTGGACTCTCGTTTCGGTGGCTTCGAAGAATTCAATGTATCTTTGGAGACATGCGCTTCTTCCGCAAAGGTACGTGTCTATGCGCCTCTGTTGATGCTACTTAGGAGTTATGAGGGGCGGCGACGACAGCCTGGTGGCCTTAAATTCAGGTTTCGTTTGCATGCGAAAGGTGTACCGCACCAGTGATGCGAACACCAGAATCAAGGCCGGCTGCGTGGTGTCCATCAAAGCCTCACCTGCAGAAACACTCGACCCGAAAGCGGCTCGGGTCAGCTTCTTAAGGACGCTCGCGAAGTCGTGGATGATGCAGGGAGAGCGCCTGGAGCTGCCGCAACTGCAGCAGTAGCACTTGTTGGCACCAGTACGCCGTTCTCGAGTGCTTACCAGCAGCATTTGTGCCGAGTGCGTTTTTTTGCCTTCTATATCTGTACGATATAAGCGTCGCTTGTGTACCTGATCCATATCATGTTTGTTGAATTTCGTTCCTTCATGCACATTTTACTCGCTCCGTTTGGACGACCTTTCGAAACAATTGTACCTTTCGCACGAACAGCGCTGATTGCCTAATTCCGGAAAACTATTTGTTGCAGTTCAACCATAAACACTTGACTCTTCTTTAAAGAAAGTGTTTTCTTTAAACATGAGCTGTTCGGTTTGAGTCGATTCTTCCGCCTTCTGGCGGATAAATACCCTACTGCCTGTTGGCAGTTAGCCGCTGGCAGGCAGCTACACGAATAGAGGAGAAAAAAAGAAAAATGCACGATAGGGAAAGAGAAACATGAATACGCAAACAGGCACAAATAGATGAACACCTGCCGGCGGAAACAGTCCACCAACACCACAATGAGCAGACAAGAGCTCGCAGTGGTGCCTCTCCCAAATGCTTCAGGACCAGCCCCTTTTGTAGGAGCTTCCCTGGTAGAGAAAAACCTGCACCTGTAACTAGAAATGGGAAGCCGTTGTGGCTAGGTGGATTCTCGCGTTGTAATATCGCCTCTCCAAAACGTGCTGCGGCAAGTAGATGTGACGCGATATAATGGCATCTTCAAAATAAGCAAATTTTGGTGTTCCTTTTGTGTATTTCGTGCTGCATGTAAACCTGAGCTGACATGGGTTGCGCTTGCAACAAGGGGGACATGACGGAACATCATCGTTTACTGTCGTTTTATCCTTTGGCTTCAGCCATTAAAGCAGTGGACCGTTTTACTGTCGCATGCCTGCACAGTTCTATGTGCGTATGCATCCATATGTATGCTTATGTGTATATGAAATTACTTCCGTACGGTAACATATGTAATTGCGTGCGTATGTGTGTGCGTATTTGTGCCTCTGTGTATGCTTTACTGTATTGGCTTGCGTAAATGAACATGAATGTGTCCATGAATTTGAGAATGCACTTGTAGTGTATGCGTATATGAATATGAACGCGTATATATGGATATGCGTAATATTTATGTATATATATGCATATATATATATATATATATGCATGCTCCGTTTTAAATGCATCACACACAGGCAACGCATCTTTCTTCCGTTTGGTGCCTAGACAAAGAATGTAAGGGTGCCTTTGGTCCGCCAATATTGTTGGTTCTTACTGACATTTCCGTTCTTTGTCTGTTGGTATTTTCGTTGTACCCGATGATAGGCCGTTGGTGATGTTTTCTCTTGTGCCTTTACTATGGCTGATCTTGCTTCTGAGAGCGCCGTTTGTGTTCACTGGGTACGTCAGTGAGCAGCTGCCACTTAGTAACCGCAGCAGTTGAATGGCTAAATTTTCCTTTCCAGCACTGCTGTTCGCTGTAATTGCTTGGCCGCAACATTGATTTTTTATGCCTTTGCTGTTATCCCTGGAACCATTCATCCGGCACGTAGACGATCCTCTCCAGCGTAAAACCTTGTTCATGAACGCATTTGACAAATTCCGCCCTCTTTGCCCTTACAACTGAAGGAATACACTTGCTTTGCACGTGATTAACGCTGGCTGGTGCCTCATGTAGAATGAACTGAGGGGTTCTGGGCACGTGCGTGACAATATATTCGTCTGTGGTTTCCCTCAACCTTCCCTCGTGCCACAGACAAGAGTATAAGTCCTTAAGAATTGACAGACATGCAGGATAGGATGGCGTGCGACACCGTTTGCTGCGAACGTCGCAGAAGCCGAACCCTCCCACTCCCCAACATTCCCTGTCTGTCACGCAGCTGCGCTTATCGAGAGGCACGCAACGCCCGGAGAACTTGCGGAATGTGCGCACTATGTCTCTCCCCAGATTGTTGCCGTAGGGATTGGGAGTTTCCAGGGGAGAAGGCAGCGCCAGCTGTGGCGGCATTCCCCCTGGGAGATGGGAGGAGTGGCCGCTTGTGCTGTACTCGAAGCGTTGCCAGGGAGCACAGACGCTATCTAGATCCACGTTGTCTGTCAGCACAATAGGGTCCCCAGCTGAGGCATGTCGAGAGGTAAACCAGGGACTGCATTCTCCGTTTACGCAAGACAAACGGTCCTCGCACTCTCGCGCACTGTCGCCCACGCAGGTCGCGCCTTCACGTTTCCGAGCCTGGCAGCCCTGAGATGCGTGCAGGAAGGAGCAGTAGTGGTGCTACGACACAGAACACGGAGACAGAAACAGGTCAGATACATAAATGTATTGTTGGCTTGTTAGTTAGAACTTCCAAAGACGTATACATTCGCGAATATTGAGCAAGACGCACGACACAGGCGCAATTACGCGAAGCGGCGAAGCCAGCAGCACGGGAATGTCACTCTAGGGGTCTCATCTCGTTGAGGAGCCACGGCGCAAGCACATAGTCAGGCAGAGTGCATCATTGCCTCAGCAGAAAATACAGGATGCAGCCCTTGTCACCACTCGCTGCCTCCGTTGCTCATATGTGCTATGTTGCACATGTTGAATTTACTGTCATCCATCTGATTTATGCGCCCCTGCTCTCCCCAGTCCTCACCGAGGCACAGCAGCGGTCCAGCCAACAGCCGCCTTTGAAATCCGTGGGCAGTCGGCTAGGTAGGCCATTGAGGGGCCCCACGTTTGGAGCGTAGGGCACTGAAGGCAGCAGCTGCGTCTGCACTTTTGGGTGAAGTGGCAGTGGCGGGAGTGTACCGCCCAATGCGGAAGCGCCCAAAGGCACGCTGCTGAGGGGTGGAAGAGGGCCCGGAGAAACATGACCCAGCGGAGGAGGTACAACTCCAGGCAGGCGGGGAGGCATGGGCTGCCTCTGCATGTTAAGTGCGGGTGAGGCTCCTAGAGGTGGGGGCAGTGGTCCAGTGGGCTGCCTTGGTTGAAACCCTAGAAGCTGCAGAGGATTGAGAAGAGGGTTTTGCATGCCCGGGTACACCAAGCCTTCAAGAGCCTCTCCCTCCTCCTCAGAGCTGCCGCGCTCTCGCCGTGCTGCTTCGCCTTTCATCCCAGCAGCTTCCATTGCTTCTAGTGATGAGTCGAAAGACGTGAACGGCTGCGGTTGCTGCAATTGCTGCAGTTGTTGCAGCTGCGCTGACAGCTGCTCCTGCTGCTGCAGAGACAGAGACGGGGTGCCCGCCGCCGGACTCCCAAATGAAGATGTCCCGAACACGTCATGCTGCGATAGGGGGGGTTTTATTCCTCCCGTGGTAATAGGGGAAGGAGCCAAGCTGTGTGACAGCTGCGGCGGCAGCGCAGAAGGAAAGCCAAAGGCGGGGGCCCCCAGTGTATGCATTAAGCTCATTTGCTGCTGCTGATCTTCAGGAGTGAATGCATACGACACGCCAGTGAACAGCCGCGCGAGCCTTTTGGCAAGGGAGCCGTTGAGTAGCGGGCGTGGCTGCGGCCTGTCAATAATTGTCCCTCTTCCTGCTGCTGGGTGCTGCAGTGCTTGATACTGGGACCTGGGGCCCCACAGTGCTTGCTGGCCCGTGATCCCTTCCTCATTTTCAGCATGTGTCTCGTTCTGTTCCTTTTCTAGTGCTTCTTGTGGCTCTAGGGGCTCCCCGCTCTCGTTGCGGGGAACAGAGAAGAAAGACGCCAAGTCCTCAGCTGTGACGGTCTCACCCAGAAGAGCTGAGGCTTCTGCTGCTCTTTGCTCCCAAGCCTGACGGACGGCTTGTTCATCTAACACTCTGTTTGCATTTGAAGATGCTGCTGCTGAAGCCGCAAGCTGCTGCCGCTTCGACATGGAGTCGCGATCCTGCGCTGCCTCGTTCCCGACAGCTGCTACCATCGCTCCCCTGGTGCGCTGCAGGTTCCTTGTGACTTGCTGCTGCGTGTCTGCCGCTGCTACTTCGGTTTGCTGGTTCTCTGCGCTAAACCCATTGACGGCTAGAGGCAGCATTAGTTCCTTCTGCTGCTCCAAAAGCATCTGCTGATGGTCTAGGGGGGAAGGCACGGGCTTGCAAATGCCCTGGACGCACTGCAGGCAGTCGGTAACGCAGTGGCGGAAGCGGTCGCATGCAGCCCCTGGGGGAAGGTCCTTAACGATGCAGTACCTAGACAGAGAATGGCGGCCCCCCAGGGGCTCCCCCTGGGCCGTTTGTGTGGCAGCGTAGCCACATATACCCGACTCGCACATGAACGCATTCTGCTCAGTACAGCTGCCGCCCACACTAATGAGCCGCCGACAGATTTTCAGGTAGGGGTCGCAGGTGAGGCCCGTAGAGCACAAATGCACAGATGCAGCGCAGCTCTTGCCCTCCCCCTCGCTCCATGGCAACCGGCAATAACCTAAATGCCACAGCAGCAGTACAACATAAGCAATGAAAATGCCTGCAGCAGAAGCACCACGTGCAGCAGTAAAGCTTGCATTTTGTCGTTGGCCAGGAGAAAAAGGAGGGAGAGGCACACACATAAGAGACCGGGTAATAGCAAGGCTGGTGAAAGGGATTACCTGTCTTCTGGTCGTTAGCTGGGGCACAAATAAGGGGCATTTTGCATCGGCGTCGGCGCCAGTCGCTGTTGCCGCTCCAATCTTGTGTGCAATGGTCGTTGAGGGAAGAGAAGCTTTTTTCAAGGACAATCCATTCTTCCTTCCTCAAAACAATTACCAGAGTGAGAACCAAAACTGCCACTAATACCACCGCAATCCCAACAGCAATCAGTATCTTCGTGAGCCGCCTCATCGTTGCCGCAACTGCAAGGAAAAACCTGGAATGGAAAGCGACGCAGCGATTTCCCTTCGCCTTCTATCCATCGGAAAACCACTTACTTGATCTTCTGTGTATTTTTATTCAGCAAGCATAAACCTGAAAAGCCTTTAAACTACAAAAGACGGCCAACAAATCACCGTGCTCTCCCCAATGTGGGAGAGAACCGCCGCATGTCTTTGCCGCCCCGATCTGCACGGAACGCAGCAATAGAACTCCGACTGCTTCAAAATACTGCCTTTTTATGGCATTTCATATCCGGAAATGGCATTTTATCTCAATGTAAGCGGTAAACACAACCATACCACCAGCCCCCAAAGTAGCAAGTGACCTGAGCGCCCAGCGACGAATTCGTCGGCAGCGCCCGCCTTGTGCGCAACAAGAAAGAAACGTGATTTAAATGGGCAGTTTGACCAGAAGCGTATTTTTAACACCAGAAAATAAACAGATCAAGTCTCCGAATACACCAACTTTGCGAATAGACTCACACAAAAACGCTCGTGCAGACTGTGGGTGTAGTGCATGGCACTACAATTGACCTTCGTCGCCACCCGATACTTGCTAATGTGAGATGCATGAATAATATTGAATATATTAGCGCTTAAAGCACT